AAACCAATCGTCAGTCCATTCCTGGCCCGTCATCTTCCTCCACGCCATTAACTGCATCGCCAAAAGCAACAGAAAAGAATGTCTCCAAAGTCTCTTTTCCTTTACAGAAAAGAATGTCTCCAAAGCACCAGAAAAGCTCTCTCTTTTCTTTCACAGATTCCCCAAAGTCTCTTTTCCTTTACAGAAAAGAAAAAGAGGGAGTGAGAATGGATGGGCATAACCAGGCTATCAAAGAAAATCAAGTGGGTTTGCAAGAAAAACATACCTTACAAAGCAACATGGGTGGATAGAGAATGAGCGGGGAGATCAAGAAAAACATCAAGAAAAGCAGAAAGCAAAAGAAAATAAAAAGAAGCAAACATAATTGCGCTGGTGATGGCATGTAGAAAAGGGAATTATGGGCGTGACCCATTGAGCAGAGGATCAGATTTATTTTTGAATGATGTAATTTATTTTTCTTATTTTTCGGAGACATCTGTATAAAACCCCATCAGAGGGTAATAAAAAAATAAAATAAAAAATAAATAAATAAACGACAAGCCCAAAATAATGGGCTGCAATGTCATGTGGAAGGCGAAGGCCCATATGTCCAAAAGAGCAAGGCCCTCTATTATCACCAACCAGGTGATCAAAAGTACATCCAGTACTACCAAAAATTATTCGGTAACCTGCCGCTATTACCACCAACCAGGTGATCAAAAGTACGTCCAGTACTTCCAAATTTATTCGACAACCTGCTGCTATTACCACCAACCAGGGGATCAAAAGTACGCCCAGTACTCTAAAATTATTTGGCAACCTGCCACTATTATCACTAACCAGGTGATCAAAAGTACGTCCAGTACTCCAAAATTATACATGAGCATCACTCATGTCAATTATACATAAACATTCATAAGCATCACTCATGTCAATCATACATAAACATTCATGACCATCATTCATGTCAACATACATAAACATCACTCATGTCAACATTCCTGAGCATCACTCATGTTAACATCCATGATCATCACTCATGTCAATCAAACATAAACATTCATGAGCATCACTCATGTCAATCAGCTTCGAAAGCTTCATTTATAGAGCTCCAGCTTCGAGAGCTCCAGCTTTAAAAGCTTCATTTACAAAGCTCCATCTTCAAAAGCTTCACTTGCAAAGCTTCACCTACAAAGCTTCAGTGCAGGGTATACAAATACCGCCTCCGAACAACCGCCATTTCGGCCCATACATGGATTGAATTTGAAGTCTCCAGCTAACAACCTCTATTGACTGAAGACTTAGGGGACTACACTATGTACCACATATTGGGCCTCAGAAAAAATACTTAGGGGACTTGGCCCATTATTTATGTATTGAGGAGCGAGTCTCTTATTCTATAAAAGGAACTTCCTCACTTTCATTAGAGAGCACTCATAAAAAATACTTGGGGGACTTAGCCCATTATTTATGTATTGAGGAGCGAGCCCTTATTCTATAAAAGGGACTCCCTCACCTTCAACGCCATAAGCCGAGCCAACCAAGGCAACATAAGTCACAAGCCGAGCCAACCAAGGCAACATAAGCCACAAGCCGAGCAACCTCGCAACATGTGCTACTTCTAGTTGAGCATCATTTCACATTGAGCACCGCCTCATATCAAATATCAGTTTTAGACGACATCTAATTACTTTGGCCCACACATGGACTGAATTTCAAGTCTCCAGCCAAAAGACTCTTGACTGAAGGCTTGGGGGACTACTGTTTGTACCATACTTAAGGCCTCCATATTTAGATCTTGTATAAATACCCGGGACTTAAATGTAATTATGTAATAAAGGAAGGGGCAATTATGTAATAAGTGAGGAGCCCTTATTCTATAAAAGGGACTCCTCACCCTCACAATTGAGGAGAGCCTCACATCCCCTCTCATATTTAGAGAAGCTCATCCTCACATAAGGAAGCTCTCTCTCCCTCTCAATCCTCTCACAAACAGAGAAATACAATATCAGTGTGGATGTAGCCCAAACATTGGGATGAACCACGATACATCTTGTGTTATTTACTTTCTTGCAGATTCATGGTCGGATTTACGTTGTTCCAAGACCCCTCCGGTTTTGTGCATCAACAATGTCCTTAATTGGCTAACAGAGATAAAAACAAGGACCAAATTGGTCAAATTGAAAACACATGGACTTTATTAACCCAATGACTAAAACACATGGATCATTTTAATATTTAAGCCTTTAGAAAATAAAAACCCAAAATTAGTATTCATGAATATTTTGCAACTTCTAAACTTTTTTTTTGTACAAACAATGTTATCTACATTAAGGGGGTGTGAGAGTGTGATAAGCCTCACAACGGCCTAGAAATAATATGGTTCAAATTTGCGTTTGATGAGAATCGGACCTAAAAATAGAAATATATGACACAAATTTTAGCCATAAGTAGTATTCCTCTTTATTTGTAAGTGAGAGGTTTTAGCTTTGATTCTCGCCAAAAACAAATTTGAACCACATTAGTGCTAGCCCATTTTGAGACTTAGCCCACGTACCATCCCCTTAGTGTAGATAATATCGTTTGTTAAAAAAAAATATAAATATACCAAATGTAATGTTTTTAACACTACGTAGATATATTTGGAAGATAAAGTTTAAATATGCTAACATGTAAATATATTATTATTATTAAAATAATAATGTGAATAAAAATCAAAGAACCTTGATCAATAACTAAAAAGAAATAATGTTTCAATCAATGAAATAAAAAAATGAGGAATGAAAACTTAATTTCTCTTAAAAAAAATTAGATTTAGAATTCAAAACCCTCTCTAATGTAACCAAACGTATCAAATATTATTGGCTTGGGTAAGGCATGTCAATTATTGTAGGGGCAACGTGAATCATGTAGAATCAGATCATCCATCTTTATTTGGTAATAAAGTGGTTAAGTATATTATTTAGATTAAATAATGTTATCATATCCTCTAAATAGAATGCTTCGTTCAAAATAAAAAATATATCCTCTAAATAGAATGCAATTGTAGATGGTGCAGAGTAGGAATTTTATGTGCGATGGGGACCATTGACAGGCCATATGATACAAAAGAAAAGATAAGAAAATAATCGAATCTTTCAAATTTGACAATGTTTAGAAAAATACAAGACACAAAACAATTGTTTACTCAATCGTGTATGTAGAGAACGGATAAGGATCCTCTTGGATCTCCTTTGTGAGGATCTTAGGAATCTTCACATTTTAATTGTTCATCATATATCGTACTGTCAATTTTCGTTAGATACTATTTATGTTTACTTTTAAATAAAAATTTCAAAATAATTTCTAACCACACAATATACGATGAACAGTTAAAATGTAAGGATCTTTAAAATCTTCACAATTTATATCTGAGATCCAAATCCCTAAGGGATAGTACTCATCATTCTTTCAAATGTCAGAACGTCATTTATGATTGACTTTTGACATTTGACAGAATGTCAAAATAAAGAAGATTTTTAACAGAATGATTAAAATGATTGACAATGAACAATTTCAGAAATCATTTCTATCGATTTTAAATTTTATAGATGATGAACAATCTTAGTAACCATTTTAGCTAAAAAATTCATAAAAAAAAATGGTTGTGGAATTTAACTTGATTTTCTGTGCGGCTGCCATGCAGTCATTCCTGGTGATTTTTGGGGGTCAGGTATACAGGTAAAATAAGGTCACCATTTCAATTGGAAAACCTAAGTTATTAATATAAAGTAAACTTGTTATAAGTTCAATTTGTGAGTCATTGTTAGGTTTAATCCACTTTCTTGAGTTAGGTCAATTCATTGATTATTCAGCATTCACATCAGATTATTTTTTATTATCTTTTCATTAAATTGTGATAAATATCATCCTTTATATATACAAGCAATCGGCACACACGTTATACATGTGCAAATCAACTTTCTTCTCATTGTGATATGAGTTATAATTAATGTGCAATGTAAACGTCGTTTCGAAAAGAAAATTCTTTTCATTGTGGTATGAGTTACATAACTTATGGAAAACAAATTACTAACATTAGTGAAATAAAACCAAACTCATGAGTTAAGTAATAATTTGCAAGGGGGAAAATGCAGAGGATGTGGGAAGAAGTTGTTGGGTGGTGGGTTTGGTGGAGGGCGATTAGGGTTTTGGAGGAGAGGAAGAGCCTACATAATTTGCAGGTGGATTAGAGACAGGCGGGGTAAGAGAAGGGGATGAAGGAGGTGGGGTGGTTAGAGCGATTGAAGAGGTTTTGGCAAGAAAGATGCTGAGAGAAGCCGAAGATAGTTGATGAGAAAGAAGGCTGTGTGCCAATTTTTCAATTTAATTTTGGATTTTTAAATGTTTGTTATTATTACCTGGTTGTGAGGTTCACATAAAAAATAATAAAATTTGTGATACTATATAACACTACTAAATTGCTCATATTTTTATTTCTGTTCAATTTTAATTAGAGGGTTAGAGTGATAATTTTATAGAGATTTGATTGATAACCAGAGTTTTATTAATATATGTAGTTTAGATATTTATCTTTTACACAATTTTAGAATTAAATATAAGAATTAAATTAAAATATTGTATCTCATTCATAGATCTCAAGAGCAATTCATGATTTTGCTCAAAATCCCCCCGGAGTAGGAGATATTTTTCAATGTGCCCAGAATATGGGTGGTACACCACGTGTTATTATACAAGTAGTGAAATACTTGTGTTAAAAAATTAACAACTTAAAAAATAAAACTTCCTATATTCCGAGCACAACGAAAAATTTCTCGGGGAGAAGGCCATGGGTAGTCCACACACAGCTCCTCTATTGGTGCAGGAGAGATTTTGAAACCGACTGATGTCACAGCCCGTCCCGGAAAATAAATTTTGTTGACGTAAATTGATGAAATTGCCCATGGACGTTAAATAGTGTGATGTGGTTTAAGTGTTATTTTTGGGTCAATATTCTTAAATCCTAATCGTTTGGAACCAATTAGGATTAAGTTATTATGTATTTTGGTTGTTGACCAATCCTAGGCCACACACACATCCTCTATCTTCCTTCCCGTGCTCTCTCTCTCTCTCTCTCTCTCTCTCTCTCAGACTCACTATCTCTCCTCTCTTGTACGGACGTCACCCAAAACCCTTTGAAACGTGACAGATCGAGGGACTTAAGCACACCATTGTGTTCGTGAAGCTCAGACGAATCGATTGGTACCATTTATAGATAAGGAATCCTCTGATTTCACGTCGAACCATGAACCACCGATTTTGTCACTGTTCATGCATACGTGAAATATTGTTTTTCAGGGAATTTGAAGCTTATAGGAAGCTTAAGGAGGTACTCGCGAGTCTCGGGGGCTGAGATCGACGTGTATCTAGGTAAGCCAAACTATCGAGCTTTCTCGAGGAAAACCTAGTGAATTTTAAGCCTTGTGAAACTTATATAACGTGATTCTACATGTTATTAGCTTCATTTTGGTACCAATTTTGTGGAAAATGGTGAAGAAATGAAGAAGAATAAGCGTTTTAAAGATTTACCCAGTTTCCGGCGCCGACGACGGTAGCTGGAGATTCAATGGTAGGGATGACGAAATATTCTGTCAACTTTGACGAAATATTCCAACGCCTTAATTAGTTTGGACAGATTCTGTTAGGACTTAACGGAATATTCTCGGTATATACCTGAGGGCGTTGACTGACGCCGTTAGTACGCTTGTCATGTGGCCGCATGTGGGGGCGCGTATTGCCGTGCCTTGGCCGGCGCGTGGGTGGTCAGAAAATTATTCTAAAAATATGGGGATGTTCGTGGAGTTGTGTAGATCACATTGGTATATTCAAACACCCCATTTGAGCATTGTATGAGAAGTTATTAGATAGTTTTGTCTATATGCTCTAAAATAACGTTTTTATAGTTAATTCGCATATAGGTGAGACTTATCTCGAGGACGAGCGTGTTCAAGGGCGACTCAGGGGCTACGACCCTTCGACATACCAGTGAGTGGCCTTTAGGTTTTCAGTATATATTTATATACTTGATATTTTCCCAGAAATATGTGTTTAAATGAAAGTATGCCATAAATGCCATGCATATGAGTTTATAATTTGTATATGAATTGGTATAAGATCCATTATAAATAATTGTGGTGTTGTGGAAGCTCAGGTAAGTTTAGGTGATTTATGTTTGGTTATGTGAATTATCAATGATGCGATATGTGATTGAATAATGTTGAGCTCATAAAACTGCACCTAGGGTGATTGTGATTTAGCCAGAGATATGGCACATGCCTGTTTATTATGTCACCTCCCTCACCTTATGCTCATATTGGATCCAATTTAGGTGCACAATCTTGTCGTATAGACCTTTATTATGGTTCCGACTCGTAGGTGATTAGTGATTTATCGCCCAGATATTATGTGAGAGGAATATTGAGCATGATTATATCACACCCATTATTGTCGTACAGACCTTTTCATTTGGTCCGACTCTTGTGCAGTATATTGCCTTATAGGTCATTGTAGTGACTCCGGCTAGATTGACTTTTGAGCTATGAATTCAGCCGTACAGACTACCACAGGGGTTCCGGCTAACATGTTATATTTATATGAAATTATTCTTACCTGAATTGCTTACTCTGTTATATCTTGGCATGACATACATATGAATATGATTATGTGAAGCATGTTTTGAAGTGATATATTTATGTATATGCTTATATCTTGATTCTGGAAAAAATTATACATGTTTTACAATGAAGGGTTAGATAAGTTGATAAATGAAATGGTTTTGTAAAACATTTTTTTTTCCACTCACGTTTTCTGTTTTGCGCCCCTCCAGGTTTTAGGTAAGCTTGCTATCGGTGGCCTTGAGGATTTCAGCGGTTCTGACTTATCTAAATAATTGTAGGACATCTTATGGTATTGTATAATTAGTACTTGTCCTACTGGACTGCACCTAGACTTTCTATGCCCTGATTAGGAGTATTTACTTTTGTATCTTACTCCTAACACTTCTTGTTTAGTAGTGCACTCTAGTAGTTTCGGTTTTAATTATTCGTATATTTCTTATCTTTATTGCTTCCGTACTGTGCACATGGCTACGTCACCCTCACGTAGTTCAATATGTAAATTTTTTAAATCCAAATTTATTACCTAAACTATTCTTACAAACTTAATTCAATATGTGAATTTATCTTTACACCTATTTAGAAAATAAAAGCCCAAAATTAGTATTCATGAATGTTTTGCAACTTCTAAACCTTTTTTTTTTTTTGTACAAACGATGTTACCTACATTAAGGAGGTGGGGGAGTGGGATAAGCCTAACAATAGGCTAGCAATAATGTGGTTCAAATTTCTGTTTGGTGAAAATTGGACCTAAGAATATAAATATATGATGTAAATTTTTGCCGTAAGTGGTATTCCTTTTCACTTGTAAGTAAGAGGCTTTAGGTTTGATTCTTGCCAAAAACGAATTTGAACCACATTAGTGCTAAGCCCATTGTGAGGCTTAGCCCACTCACCATTCTCTTAGTGAAGATAATATTGTTTTTACAAAAAAATATAATATACCAAATGTAACATTTTTAACACTACATAGATATATTTGGAAAATAAAGTTTAAATATGCTGACATGTAAATATTTTATTATTGAAATAATGACGTGAATAAAAATCAAAGAACCTTGATTAGTAACTAAAAAAGAATAATGTTGAAATAGAAAAACGAGGAATGATAACCTAATTTCTTCTATAAAAAATTAGAACCCTAACCAAACATATCAATTATTAGCTTGGGGAAAACATATCAATTATTAGCTTGGGGAAAACATTCATATCAATTATTAGCTTGGGGAAAACATGTCAATTATTGCATGGGCAACATGAATCACGCGAATCATGTAGAATTATATCATTTGGCACCAATTATTGGCTTGGGGAAAACATGTCAATTATTGCAGGGGCAACATGAATCATGTAGAATTATATCATCCATCTTTATTTGGTAATAAAGTGGTTAAGTATATTATTCAGATTTAAATATTGTTATCATATCCTCTAAATAGAATGCTTCGTGCAAAATAAAAAATATATCCTCTAAATAGAATGCAATTGTAGATAGTGCAGAGTAGGAATTTTATGTGGGAAAGGGGTCCTCTTCGGATCCCTTACTCTTAATCCATCAAATTAGGAGAATCCATGTTATTGAAATTTGATCCAACAACTACAAACAGAGACTCACTTTAAAAGTTATAATAACTTCAACCGTTGGATCAAATTTTAATGACACGGATCCCCTAATTTAATGAATTAGAAAGAAGGGATCCGAAGACGATCCCTTTCCTTTTATGTGCGATGGGGCCATTGACAGGCCATATGATACAAAAGAAAAGATAAGAAAAGATAATCAAATCTTTCAAATTTGGACAAGGATTGTCTGCCCTCCCACTTCCGATGCTCTCCCGTGCCCTCCTGTTTTGCGTGGTCACGGTTAAGCCACGTCAACATTTTATATATATTTTTTATAGAGATAATAAGACAAAAATGAATAGTAATATAAAATGTTGACGTGACTTAACCGTGACCACACAAGTAGGACGGCACGGAAGGGCACTAGAAGTGGGAGGGCAGACAATCCTTGTCCTTCAAATTTGGCAATGTTTAGAAAAATACAAGACACAAAACAATTGTTTACTCAATCGTGTATCTAAGGGACGGATGAGGATCCTCTTAGATCCTCTTTGTGTGGATCTTAGGAATCTTTACATCATAATTGTTCATCGTATATCGTAATGTCAGTTTTCGTTAGATACTACTTCTACTTATGTTTAATTTTAAATTCAAAATTCAAAATAATTTATGACCGCACGATGTACAATGAACAATTAAGATATGAGGATCCTTAAGATTCCCACTATTTGTATCTTAGATCCAAATCCCTAACAGACACTCATCATTCTTTCAAATGTCAGAAAGTCATTTATGAATGACTTTTGACATTTGACAGAATGTCAAAATGATTGACGAAGATTTTTAACAGAATAACTAAAATGAAATCAATTCTATCAATTTTTATAGGCCAAAATACGAAATTATGGCTAAATTTTTTTTTTAAAAAATGGCAGTGGAATTTAACTAGATTTTCTGTGTGGCTGCCATGCAGTCCTTCCTGGTGATTTTTGGGGGTCAGGTATACAGGTAAAAGAATTTCAACTAGAAAACCTAAGTTATTAATATAAAGTAAACTTGTTATAAGTTCAATTTGTGAGTCATTATTAGGTTTAGTCCACTTTGTTGAGTTAGGTTCATTTTATTATTTTTTTAATTAAATTGTGATAAATGTTATCCTTTATTTATACTAGCAACTGGCACATATGCTACACATGTGCAACTCAACTTTATTTTCATTGTGATATGAGTTATAATCAATGTGCAATGTAAAAGCGTTTCGAAAAGAAAATTCTTTTCGCTGTGGTATGAGTTACATAACTTATGGAAAACAAATTACTAACATTAGTGAAATAAAACCAAACTCATGAGTTAAGTAATACTTTGCATGGGGGAAAATGCAAAGGATGTGGGAGAAGTTGTTGAGTGGTGGGTCTGGCGAATGGCAATTAGGCTTTCGGAGGAGAAGAAGAGCCTACATAATTTGTAGGTGGGTTAGAGGCAGGCGGGGTGGGAGAAAGGGATGAAGGAGGTGGGGTGGTTAGAGCGGTTGAAAAGGATTTGGTGAGAAAGATGTAGAGAGAAGCCAAAGAGAGTTGATGAGAGAGAAGGACGTGTGCCAATTTTTTAATTTCATTCTGGATTTTTAAATGTTTGTTATTATTACCTGGTTATGAGGTTTCTTGATGCACAAAATCAGTGAGGACTTTGGTACAATAGAAAGTGTTAAGTTTGTGACCTTCGCTAAATTGCTCCGGTCACTAGTGTGGATAAGTATGTAAATGGATAGGGACATGGAAGCATACACAAGATGTACGTGGTTTACCCAGATTGGCTACGTCTACGGAGTAGAGGAGTTCTCATTAATTGTGAATGGTTTACACAAGTACATAGGTTCAAGCTCTCCTTTAGTAAGTACTAGTGAATGATTTAGTACAAATGACATTCGGAAATATTGTGGGAGAATGATCTCCTTTTATAGAAGAGTTTCTAGCTTTGTTCTGACATTGACACGTGTCGTATTGTGATTGGCTTCTGATGTTGACATGTGTCACGATGTGATTGGCTTCTGATGTTGACACGTGTCGCGCTGTGATTGGCTTGTGATGTCGACACGTGTCGCACTATAATTGGCCTCCATGGTTGGAGGGAAACTCTTCTGGGTCCTTAACGGTATAACGTTGACCAGTGCTCAGTAGTTTCGGGATTTGTCAAGTATAATACAAACAATGCTCCCCTAAGTTCTTGAGTGAAGGAAACTCCTCGGTTGAGGACTTGCCAGATCCAAGCCGCTAAGTAATCACAAAACTTCTAAGTACCGAAGTGTGGTATCGTCTTCACTTGCCTAATCTGTCTCACATGTAGATGTGGCATCTTCTCTGAAAGTACTCTTCCTCCATCCAGGGGTGGTATCTTTAACCGATGTAGATGCACAAAGTAATGTATCAATTTCACTTGAAGCTTACTTGTAGTTTTAGGCTTGGTTAAGCACGATACAAACCAATTTCACTTGAAGCTTACCTTGTGCACAAGATAATGTATCAATTTCACTTGAAGCTTACTTGAAGCTTCCTCCATGCAGGAATCTGATGGTCAGATTTTACTTGATCATCAGAGGTTTGTGGGTTTGTTCCAAAGGCATTTATTGCATTTGTCTTCTAGGGCTGTACCGCGTAATAAAGCTCCAAATAATCAACCTCCGATGCCTCCTCCTTTTGGGGTTCTGTCCAGTACTGAGGCTCCGAATGATCACCCTCCAGTGCCTTTTCTTTCTGGGGCTCTGCGGACTGCTGAGACTTCTCCTAAGCAACCTTTGTGAAGGCTCCCTCTTGTTTGTTTATTTTGACTCATGTATATGTACATATTTGTAACTTATCGGAGATATCAATAAATCAGCTTTGCTTCATTTCAACGTATTGTTTTAAATACATCAAAGCCTTCTTCACTAAGTTCTTTGAATTTTTTCTTTTGTTGAAGCTTTTGAGTGAAGCATGTAGGTTGAGGTAGTGTTTCCTTAATTTCCCGAGTGAGGAAAACTTCTCGGTTGGAGACTTGAAAAATCCAAGTCATTGAGTGGTCATGAGACTTCTAAGTATCAAGGTGCAGTAACATATGGTAGGAGTCCTCCAAGTCTCCGGTCGAGGGAGTTGACGAAGGAGGTGTCTTGCTAGTAGCCAAGTTTCTAAAGTAACAAAACTTCACAATTTTCCTTTCTAAGTGGTAGCCCAAAACTCCTATTTCATATATATTTGTTATGAAAGTTGTTAGGCCCAAAGAAGATTAGGCCTAGGCAATTTTTTTTTATTTTTTTTTTGAATTTTCAAATTTCTGAATTTCCGAATTTCCGAATTTCTGAACTTTTGAATTTTTGAATTTCCGAATATATATATTAAGCTTTGTTGATGAAGCTTTGGTGTTGAAGCTTTGTAGGTGAAACTTTGTTAGGTACTATGAATTGATTTTGTTTCACACTATCTTGATCAAGAATGTGTGAAGCTTTTGTAGGTGAAGCTTTTGTGTTGAAGCTTTGTAGGTGAAAGTTTTGTGGGTCAAGCTTTTATGGGTGCTGCTTTTGTAGGTGAAACTTTTGTGGGTGAAGCTTTTATGGGTTAAGCTTTTGTGGGTCAAGCTTTTGTGGGTCAAGCGCTTTGTAGGTGAAACTTTTGTGGGTCAAGCTTTTATGGGTGCTGCTTTTGTAGGTGAAGCTTTTGTGGGTGAAGCTTTTATGGGTTAAGCTTTTGTGGGTCAAGCTTTTGTAAGTGAAGCTTTTGTGAATGAAGCTTTTGTGGGTCAAGCTTTTGTGGGTCAAGTTTTTGTGGGTTAAGC